GTGAGCCATGTGGCTTCAGAATCATCTCATGCCTGGTCTCTGAGTGCTCTAAGGGGAGTCCTCTCCCCGACCCACGGCCCAACCACGGCCCCAGGGGTTTTCAGGAGAAGCCCCCACACCTTGGAGGTCAGGCAAAGTCCTGGTGGGGAGATGGAGATTTTATAGAGATTTCATAAGCTATAAATTAAAATAAGTCCCAGGTTCTCTCCCACTTCCTTCCCCTTCCCAACCCAGCATCAACGCTTCACGTGTGACCTGGAACAGAGTGGGAACGGAGACCACATGATGGAGAGAAACAGATCAGTTCTTTCTCCCCTATCTCCGGGCGAGGCTAACGAAAATGTTTGTGGAACTCAGGTCCAACCCTCAATCCCAAACTCTTGTGTGTCATGTGCCTTCTTCTGGGAGGACACAATCTGGTCCTGAGCTTACTACCTACCTGACCCCTCGACATGGGAATCCAGGCTGCCTAACCCAACCACCCAGGACTGGGAGGTCAGACACCTGACCTTCAGAGTCACCCGCCTAGATAATGCCAGCCCCTGGGGAGGGGAACGAGAGGGGCCTGAGTCATCAGCCTCCTAGTGATCCCTGTCCGGCTCCCAATGGCTACCCAGTGCCTAAGCACCCACTATAAACACAAACACACTATCCTTTTCTCTTTTTTTAAGATTTATTTTTGAGAGAGAGTGCAAACGGGGGAGGGGCAGAGAGAGAGGCAGTCAGAGGATCCAAAGCAGGCTCTTTGCTCACAGCAGTGAGCCCGATTCGGGGCTTGAACTCACATACCGGGAGATCATGCCCTGAGCCCAAGTGGGACGCTCAAACGACTGAGCCACCCAGGTGCCCCACAAACACTTTATCCTGTCCTGAGGATGCACAATTTTATGTGAGGGGGTGTATTTGTTGCCTGTTTCTACATAACAGATTACCCCCCAAACTTAGCAACTTCAACACTTAGTATCTCACAGTTTCTGTGGGTCAACCATTTGGGAGTGGCCTTCCTGGGCAGTTCTGCCTCTGGGTATCGCTCAAGGTCTCAGGCCGGGCTACAGGCGCCGGAAGATTTGGCTGGGACTGGAAGATTTGCTCTCAAGATGCTTCCTACACATGGCTGTTGACGGGAGGTTGCATTCCCTGCTGGCTATTAACAGGAGACTTCGATTGCTCCCCATGTGGATCTCGCCAGGGAGCTGCTGGGGTGTCCTCACAACACAGCGGCTGGTCCCCACCCCCACCCACGCCCCCAGAGCAAGTGATCCGAGAGAGAGAGAGAGAGAGAGAGAGAGAGAGCAAGGAGGAAGCCACGTGCCTTTTATAGCCTAGTCTCAGAAGGTACACTGTCAATCCTACTACTTTCCATCCGTTAGAACTCAGTCACTAGGTCTAGCTCACGCTCAAGGGTAGGAGATTAGGCCCCATCTCTCGAAGGGAGTTATCGAAGAATTTTTGAACGTGTTTTAAAAGCAGCTTTCCTAACTCAAACAGTCGCAAGACTTCGGTCAAACTCTCAAGCTTTTTCGAGAGTTGTCCATCAGAGAATTAGCTAAGGTGGTTCCCAGGACCCTCAAGCAACAGGAATCTTCCACCGAGCTAGGGAGAGAGGCAGGGGAAGAAGGCACGGGTAAGAGAGGAAGGGTGTTGTTGATACAGTGTGGCTTTACAGTGGGGGCGTGTTATTAGAAAACGGTCCTATCTGCGATTCAGCCTACCCAGGAGCCATCAGACATGAAGATCACTCTTTCTTCTTTTTACTCCCTCCCTCCCTCCCTCCCTCTGTCTCCCTCTCTGTCTTTCCTTGGTCAGCTCACCTAAGAACGATTTGAAATAGAAAGTCTATTTAACAATTTATCCAGAGAACTACGGCTGGTGTCTTACTGATGGTACCTTGTTTGTGCATTTCTTACTGGGGGAAAATGAAATGGACACTGGTTTCTATCTGTCAGGGGTTATTTCTGCGGTCAGATCCTTTCATTTCCGATAATCGCGCTCTAGGACCATAAAGAACGTCATTGTACACAGACTCACATAAGTAGGAACACATCTTTGGGGAAGATCAAGGAAGACACCTGATCTCGCCATGGCTTGCATACTCACAGAAACCGGGGTATGGTGCACCAGCCAGTAAGGGGAGCTGGGCCATGTACCAAGAGCATCCACTCTGCTGGTGACCCTCAATTCAGTAAACTCCCTTCAGACATTCTCGGGAGAGGCCCACCCAAAGCTGAGACACCCAAGTTCCTATAAGGGATAATAAGGAAAAAAAACCTGCACTGCAGAAAGGGACGTTTGTCCTTTTTTGACCTTGGCAGAAAGTGGAGGAGGAAAAAGTCTCCCTTGAGAATTTATACCCACATGGCAACCCTCACACAGAGGATCTCAGCTCCCACACCAACTGGGCATTCCCAAAACCTCAAATGGAAAAGTTTAATTTAAAGTGACCTCAGGTTCATAGCACCTCCGAGAAAGAGGGGGGCAGAAAGGCAAAGCAACAACAACAAACAATGTAACGAACAGAAAGCGTGTAAGATGAGAGAAATGGGATATATCAGCAATCAAAACAAACGCAAATAGACCAAGCCCTGCAGATAGAGGACAGAGATTATCAGATGAATATTTTATAATCCCGTGTGCTGTTTCTAAGAGATACCTTTAAAACCTAAGGCTAGAGTCAGTAGGGACTTTATCACTTTTTGTTCCTAGGGAACAAAACTAAAATACAATCTTCAAAGGCAAAATCACCAGGGGTGTGAGGGCCATCCAATTTTATAAGTTAGGCTTGTTTTTGAGTGCTGAGGATTGCTGTTAAAGACAGCTCTCTGCAGCACTGTGCCAGGTAATTTATTCTGCGATGCAGTATTGGTTTTAGAAAGTGGGAAGAAAGGCCCAAGATAATGGGTTGGGGCAGATGAGGTATACAGAGCATTACAGACGTCTCTGTCACCGGACCATGTCTGCAAAATGAGCCATAGAAACCTGAGCTCCAAATTCCGTTAGAAAGATCCTACAAGTTGACACGTGTAAGACACATGTAAGTCAGGCACGGTGCTACAGGCTCAGAAATAACAGATATGATCACAGGCGTGGACGAGATCAAACATCCTGGAGGGGCGCCTGGGTGGCTCAGTCGGTTAAGCGTCCGACTTTGGCTCAGGTCATGAGCTCACGGTTCAAGGGTTCAAGCCCCGTGTCAGGCTCTGTGCTGACAGATCACAGCCTGGGGCCTGCTTCGCATTCTGTGTCTCCCTCTCTCTGCCCCTCCCCCACTCATTCTCTGTCTCAAAAATAAACAGACATTAAAAGAAAATTTAAGATCAAAAATTTATGAACTCAATGATCTTCCTTGGACGCTTTTCATTCTTCTGTGTGTGTGGAAATATTGTTCATATGTGTAACTCATTACCAAAGACTGTTGCAGGGGTTATTTCCACATCTGAGAAAAGGGCCAAGGAATTCCTGGAAGTCTTTCAAATTCAGTGTGAGGGTTTTCCATTCTAGAAATGAGTGTAGAGTGCCGCCATCTTGAGGTTGTTTCATGCAATTTCCTTTCCTGAAGTCCTCCCTACGCGCTGGAATTTAAAAAGCATCTTCCATTTCCATAGGTCCCCAGTAGTGTCGACAGGAGTGAAAATTCTGGGCTAACTTACACCAAAATGACACAGTGAGCCACAGCCTGGGCTAAATAAAAGCGGAATAGATGCTAATAGAGTATGATTCTTCCCAGTGAATGGACAGTTCTATCTACAGGGAGAAAGAAAAGGCTCCAGGTGCCACACGGCTTTAAAGCTTGAACCTGGGGCGCCGGGGTGGCTCGGTCAGTTAAGCGTCCGACTTTGGCTCAGGTCATGATCTTGCGGTTTGTGGGTTTGAGCCCTGCGTTGGGACTCTGTGGTTGGAGCCTGGAGCCTGCTTTGGATTCTGGGTCTCCCTCTCTCTCGCTGTCCCTCCCGCTTGTC